GGATATTTGAAAGAAAGAGTCTACCAGGACAGACCGGATAATATTGAGAATTTAAAGAACAAGATTAGGGCGGAGATGCATAATTTACCAGCTGAAGTCATTCAGAATGCTGTGGACAGCTTTTACTATCGTCTTGGAGAATGCCAAATAGTGAATGGAGGACATTTTCAGCATTTGCGACATTGAGTTTATTTTTGTAAATTATCTAGTTGTTTCAATTTCTAAATGAAAAAAAACCTTGCTATTGAAAAAATAAAACTTGTTTATTTGGTATGGCTGGATTCGGTTTTCTATAAGCTTTTCAACGAGCCCCCTCTTGCCTTATGTTTCCATTTGAAAAAAAGTAGGGGTAGCTGGGGGTTAGGGGGCTGAAGAAAAATTAATTATTATATAACCGAAAGATGGGAAAAAATAAAAATCAGTTAACGTGTGTCGGCGTTTTCAAAAAAATAACTCTTTCAAACGATATGAATTTTATTCCGTACTTCTGGCCGTCCCTGTATATTAATTTTGGTGTAGGATGTGTAAATTTTTCATATAAATATCTGGTTAATATAAAAGATACGAATTCTATTTCTTTTTAAAAATTGACTACTGGTTTTCAGCCTGTTCAATTGAGTAACGCAGTTTTATAAACGACTTACACACAAAGAAGTAGGCAATCATGAGTTTAAAAATACGCTGTGACTAAATTTGTCCGGTACAATTAGGGATAAAAATAAAAATATGGAACAGCATCTCCGAGTAGACATCAAAGAACGTGGTGATTGTGAGACTAACCATGAAGAGATACAGAATGGGATTTAATGTATTATAATTAATCAGGAGGATGTTCTTTGCTATTCCCAGAAATATGTATATATTGGAGTCTTTTTTTCATTAAATATTAATCTCGGAAAACAATCGTGCTGCACCTTTTGTTATTACATTTTTTTTTCTAAAAAAATGTCTACTTTTCTAAGTACTAAACAATATAAAATTAGATTGAAAAAACTTAATTTTGAAAGCTAGGTTATTCATAGTGAGTTGCCTTATAAACCTGTGTTCAATTATTATTAAAAGTTAAAGGGTCTTGAAGTAAAAAAAATTTTTTTTTGACGAATTGCAGATTATACTCGCTGTTAAAAGTTGCAGCATAAAATGTTATGTTATGTTAGTAATCAACGCCACTGAATATATTTTTAACCGTAAACGTTTTTTTAATTTTTGTAGTTTAATGTAATGATACTACATGGCCAAAAAATTTAAAAATACACAGTATTTTTTCTGAAATCGCACAATATTAATTAATTTAAGAAATTTTTATTAGTACCTAACATTTATTCATTGCAGTATAATTGCTTATGAAATGGTTTCCTTGATAATCATTGTTTATTTATTGTTGTGAGAGTCAAATTCGTTTTAATAGCTATAAGTGCTAAAATAAAATAAAGAAACATTTAAAATGGACAGAAATGATCATGTTCAGGTGTCCAGGACACCACCAGAGTTAGTAGCAGCTGCAAAAAACGTGACTTTAAATTTATTACCTAACTAATCTAGGGAAATGTATGATTTCGCCTACAACGTTTCAAGACTTCAAAAAAATACGACCTCCCGATCTAAAAATGTTATGTTCTGGGTCGTTGAGTCAGATTCGGAAGTTAGTCTGTCTGTATCAGATTATTTGAAGGTCGTCTCAAGATCATTTCAAGGTCAAGTCAAAAAAAGCCAAGCAATTAAGTCTAACCACCTGTTATACATGTATTTGGAGTTGTTGAGTTCAAATCTGAAGTCAGTTTATCTGTGTCGGGTCATTTGAAGGCCATTTTAAGGTCATTTGAAAGTTAGTTTATGGAATAAACCCTGGAATCAATTACCGTTCTTATAGTCGCCGAGTCCGAATCCGAGGTCCATTTACATGTATTAATAAAGGCTCAAGGTTATTCCAAGGTTAATTTGAGAAAAAGGACTTCTGGTAGGGTCAGTGAGAGACGATTTCAGACCCCTCTTTTCGATCGAAGCTAAAATTATTGATAGTAAAAATAGTTGTTTAAAATCATTCGAGTTTAAATAGTGATACGCAATGTTTAGGCGAGTTCATCTGAAGGAGCAAATGAGCAGATCTTTTATCTCGAAAACTACTTATTTGACACAAAAAAAGATTGTAGGATTCTGCATGGGTTCCACATCCGTGATCTCGTGACCTAAAACTTGGCCAATATTCGTTACCTTCGGTTCACATTAAACTAATCGACACAAATCAAGTAGTGGAGGACTAAATCATCATATAATTCAAACTCAGAGACTTCAAAAACGGTAATCGATTTCTCGTTTTTTTCTTGGTTTGACCTTTAAATGACCTTGAAATCACCCTCAAATGACCTGATGCAGAGAAACTGACCTCGGATTCGAACTCAGCTATACCAAAAACCTATATAACAGGCGGTTAGACTAATTGCTCGGTTTTTTTAATTTGACCCTGAAATGACTTTGATACGACCTTCAAATGATCTGATACAGACAAACTAATCTCGGATTCTAACCCAGCGACCTCAAAATCCTGTGTGGTATGTCCAACAGGTGATTGGACTTGATTGCTCAGCTTTTTCTCAATTTGATCTTGAAATGACCTTGAAACAACCTTAAAATGTCCTGATCAGCAAAATAATCTCCGATTCGGACTCAACGACCCAAAAACCATAAACTCCGGGATCCTTTGATTTAATACACTTTCTGACCTCTAATTGACCTTGATCTTGACTAGGAAGGAGGGGGGAAGTCCCGTTTGGTGTGAAATCGATTAGTTATTGGATATAAATAATAAATACATTTTTTTTCTTTTTTTTTGGCCAAAAATGAAGGGTGCCGAATACCGGCCTAATTGACCCTCCCCCTTTGCTAATAGTAATAATATTGTCGAAGAAGAAATAATTAACACCAATAATGTCGCCGACTTTTCGAGTAAAGTTCAACCAATGTTTAATAGTTGTACAAACTGCAACATGACTGCAATTATAAACAAATAGTTTAATTGTGTGCAATACGTTCAATAAATATTATATTTACTAAATAACGCATTTTTGATGTGAGTTGGTTTGCCTGCATATTTATGAGTATTTAGTATATGAAATATTGATAAAAAAACTGTACGGGAAAGTTAATATTCCTGGCCTAGGCCGGAAAAGTAACTCCCCCATATTGTTTGCCGATGGTTGCTTAGCAACGAACTAAAATGCTACAATACCGTATTTTGGAGTCTAGAATTGAGCCGAAAAAGTACACATTTCCGAACGATTTTAGAAGAATATTTGTTCGTTATTTACAAAAATACATTAACACCTTTGATAACTTGACTTGAGTTTATAAGGCAATATTGCAATTTTTTGATGCTCTATCTTGCTCAGATTATTGTTATACATCATGTGAATTTAAACTCTCTATGAAAAATATTAGTAGATTAATTATTTTGAAACTTAATAAATATTTAATTGAGTAATAATTGCAGCCGTATTAGTAACTGCAAGAATTATTCTCATATACAGAGTGTTCAGTGATTAGTATTACGTAAACACTAAATCATCATATGCTGTCAATTTAATCCAAATAAAATAATAACAGATAAAACCGAAACATATTACCTAGACAGAGATAAAAGATAATTGTACCTATATTTGATTATTTACATTCAGATTATGATAGTAACATCTAGATAATTTTGGATAACAATAGTGCTATCGAGTGTTCGGATACACGTAACACACTTGGAAAAGATATATATATTCAATGAAAAATTTGACTATAATCAAATATTCCGAATAAAAAAAATCGTTTATAGTAATTATGAAAGTAATAAAACATTTCTATAAAGTGCACTGAGTTACAAAGTGGTTTCCAACAGTTGCAACTTGCTAACACACTTAATTTGGAGACATTCGGCCTGCTTAATAATAATTATATTATTATTAATATATTATTATTATTATTATTATTATTATTATTATTATTATTATTATTATTTCTTATATTTGTCCCTGAGGCCTTTGTTTTTTGGTAGGTGTTGAAATTTTACTTTATTATACAGGTATCTATTAACCTAATTCAAAATTTTTCCTAAAATAATGTTGATTGATATCAAAAAAACTTGCTATGCAAAATATAGGTACCTAACCTCATAGTCAATATACCTACAGCAATATCTATTAAAAAGCCCATAATAAATAATAATTATTACTTATTTAAAATAAATAAGATATCTAAATATTATTAGTTGTAAAAACGCACACCATTTAAAATCATTGTACTATTTCAAAGAATTCATGTTCTAAAGTCACGTTAGTTTGTCAACGTCGAAATATAGCCACGACAGGTAGATCTAAATATTTCTCCAGTTTGAGGAGGCCACTTGAAAAAGCAACACTCACAAAGTAGAAATAGTTAGATTTACCTACCTGTCGTGGCTGGTACAAGTCGGCCATGTCAAAGATGATGTTAGAACAAGAGTAGAATATATTTATTATTTAGTAATTTCAATATGTCACATTCAGTCCATACCTACAATATCAAATTTCGAAAAAACGACAATTTTTCTGTAACACTATAGCAGTTGCGCCCTCTAGCGGTGAAGTTACAAACTTGAAAATATTTTAAATCAATTTTTTCTGGCCGTATTTGTTAATAAGATTTTTTACCCTGTAATCGTAGCACGTCTAGTTTCCTATGTACAGGGTGAGTCAGTTTTTTGTGGTAGGATTTTAACAGTTGATAGAGACTCATTTTTTAATAAGAAAGTTCCTATAAACGTAGGTCTTAGAACGCTTCGTTTGTGAGATATAGGGTGTTGAAAACAAACTTTTTTTAAGAATTTTTCTTAATATCTATGTTGAACTGAAATTTGGTATTAATAACACATTAGTTATGGTGAATAAAATAAAGATATCTGTTATCCATTTCACCCACCAATGACGTGCCTGAGGTGGTTTACTGCCCCCTTTAAAAAAATAATTCGTATTCCCGTGAATTTTTCTGAAAAATAACATCATTTCTAAATTTTTTAATCAATTCTGAACAAAACAGATCTCTTTCAATTTTTTATAAAATTAACGGTTTTTGGTTAAATTCATTTGGCAGTGTTCCAACGATATTGGTATGTACCTAATACATTTGTAAATTAATAAGAAAAATATGATGTGCACTGAAAATCAACAAAAAGGATTGAATGAATAATAACAGTTGATAGAGAATAATTTTTTAATAAGAAAAGTTCCTATATACATAGGTCTTAAAACACTCCTTTTGTGAGATATAGGGCGTAGCAAACAAAGAATGTAGAAATTTTCTTAATATAATAATAAAAATAATGCATTTATTGCCCAACAGAACAAATGTTCCAATTACAGGACAAAAATGTAAAGACATTCAAGTACAAAACACTAAAAATATAAAAAATCATAGTTCTAAATAAATACAAATAGATATATAAACTACAAAATACGTTCTGATTTCTACAATATCAGTTAAAATTAATTAAATTAAAAAATTGAGTTGCTACAGATAACAAATTATTTATGGTACAGTGGTTTATATCAGACTGCATAGATAATATCTCTAAAAAACCAACAGATATTAAACTGAAATTTGACATGAAAAAACAAACACAGAACTTGAAAAAAGAACTAATTGACACACACGTTGTACAATGTTTGTGTTCTTATGTCAACGTTATGACATTTAATCGTTTTTGTTGATTTTCAGGGTACATCATATTTTTCTTATTACAAATATATTACCAATATCGTTGGAGCAGTTTCATGCCAAATGAATTTAACCAAAAACCATTCGTTTTATAAAAAATTGAAAGAGCTGTTTTGTTCAGAATTGATTAAAACATTTAGAAATGATATTGTAACCCACCTCAGGCACGTCACTGGTGTGTGAAATGGATAACAGATATCTTTGTTTTATTCACCATAACTAATGTGTTATTAATACCAAATTTGAGTTCAATATATGTTGGTATTTTAAGAAAAATTCTTAAAAAAAGTTTATTTTTAACACCCTATATCTCACAAACGAAGCGTTCTAAGACCTACGTTTATAGGAGCTTTTCTTATTAAAAAATGACTCTCTATCAACTGTTAAAATCCTACTACAAAGAACTGACTCACCCTGTAAAGCCAATCCGTTACTTGATCACCCTGTGTAAAGTAGATATTTTGGATTAAAATGTGTTTTTATTTCTTTTGTAGTACATTAGAGTACACATCAGTACAAATAAATTAGAAGATAATGTAATTATAAACACGCTGTTTCAAAAAAGGAATAAACAAAGAAACAGTATGCACTGCAAGCTGCTACGGTGCACGATACGCCGCCAGTGTCTTTCTACCTTGGGTGTCAAATACGCTTAATTCCAAGAACGTGACGTTGGGGTCTTCTTGGAATTCTATGTCGACAAATATCGTCCGGACTGATGCTTTTTAATCAATTTAAATTACCATGTATATGTAATTCTAGATAATCATAAATTATTAGCTGTTTAGTTGATACTGCTGGTATAATTTAATGCTAGTCCGGGCATGTAGCCAGTAGGGTAGTTGTTTCCCGCAGTATCATCAGTTAAGACTCGTGTCTATCTTGCATACCTGGATTTTTTATATAAAAAACATTGTTTGTCTTTATAGGACTTTGTGAACATTTCTTGAATTTAGTAACAAATAACATTGGAACGAAACTTTGTGTGCATTATACTATAAAAAATCTTAGCTGAAACTGGTGACGTAGATATGAGTTTCAGTGTTACGTTTTCAGGCAAATATTCTTTCTTCCTTCATCTTGATAAGGAAGTTTTCGAATATTTTCTTTCGCTTTTTGAATTTGAACAGTTTAGAGAGCAAAAATGGCAGCAAATAATAACATATACCTATCTTTTACAAACTGTTAGATTTTATTGAAAAAGTAGCCTAACCGCTTACGACATTATTTTATAATTTTTATTCTTGTAATAATTCCGGGAATCGAATAATTGGCTGGTAATAAAATCTTTGTAATCGCCCACTTCATTATAACACACATATATCCAAATTTATTCAAATTCTCGTAACCTTTAAAATAACAACCTCAACTCGCTCATGTAAACATTTGAATTAATTATTTTCATGCCTGGGAACAATATATTGCACATATTATTAATTGCTTGTTGTTGCTCATTGCTAAATTATTTCTCCATATATTAAAATCCCTGTTATATTTCAAACAGCAGGACATAAAAATTTCTACATTTTATTTTAGTTATTGATTTTAAAACGCTAATAGAAATTTATAAAGTGATTCACAGAGGTAAACATTCTATATAAAAGCCTAAAACAATATATCTATAAATTTTGCTAGTGATGTATCAGGCCAAAGTAAGGGCGGTAATATACTGCTGAGACTTCTAGTGCTTTTACTTGATCCCACATCACAAAGGAAAATTATGAGTCTATGACTTTGTAAGGGATATTTACGTAACTTTCCTAATCCCTAATTTTTCACAAAAAAAAACTATTAATAATATTTCTATACAGTAAACTGTACTGCTGTTTAAAATATATGTACACATTTAAGATTAAGGGTAAATTTTTCACATTTTGTTCACTTATTTATTAACTACTCATGTAATACTTTGTAATAAATAATATACTAACCGAGTACAAAGCAGCTGCAGAACATTTACTCGTAAACCAGTCTTCGTTGGCCAATGTTTCGACAACCGGCACAAACAGCTCCTGCGTCAACTCACCACTCAGATTTTCTCCGATGTCTTTCAATATCTCCACAGCCTTATCCCTCACTATAGTTTCGTCCGTTTTGCAAAGCTTAATCAACACCTCCAAGATCGGTTGGGAATGTTGATAGCCGCCAACCAGAGGTATGAATTGTCTGAGTTGTTCCGATAGGTTCAGTAAGATCTCATCGTGGAAGTCTATGTTTTCTTTGATGAAGGGCAACAATTCGTTTCTTGTAGTTTCTGCGCCTAAATGTTTCGCCAGAATTCCAAGTTTCTTTGTTATTTCAAGCTGTACCTAAAAAATAAACCAAATATTTTAAAAATTACGGGAAAAATTAATAATGAAAAATTTGTCTATTTCAGCAAATATATGCAGAGTGCAACTAAAATGGTTAGCTAAGATTTATAGACGGATGCTGTCACAAATTGACAAAAAGTTTACAACTAGTGCTACAACGCAATTTCCAAATACAGGGTAGTACAATTTGAAACAAAACTGACATTTTTAAATTAACAACGAAACAGCTGGAGCGATTTACTTAAAATATTTTTGATTCAAAGGTATTTCATATTTGACTTGACTCACTATTATGACAGAATATTCAAATCTCTATATAAATGCTAAAAAGTCAAACTAAGTATGATTAAAAGCGTCATATCAGAGAACACTGATATAGTGTTCTCTGGTCATATCATGAAGTTATTTTTGAAGTAACAATAGTAATTCAAATAATCACGTTATCTATGAATAATATTTACAAGACTTTCCTCAATTGCTTTTACAACTTATTAAATATAAACCATTTTATAAATTTTAAACACTTCGTGTGCCTAAAAGTCTGGTTATGAGGTAAAGGTACGGGCATAGCCTAATTTCTTTAGGCTATGGTACGGGTCACATTTTTTGTCAGTCACCGAGTGCCAACCAAATAATTCTTTCAAAGAATTCATAATATCTCGCATTGGGCGGTAGCTGATAAACGCGACCGATGACCATACAGTTATACCGTTTCTCTGTAACATTTTGGTATTTTTTACTTGAAAAAAGTAATTCGTCCAACAATTAAAACAACATATGTATATTTTTGTTTCTTTTATACGTGGTCTGTTCAGAAAATAACCGAATTTTTTTAATTACGGGTTAATGGAGATATTTAGTTGCCCATAACCTCTCCTGTAAGCACATGTTCTTGGTTTGTTGATATCTCGTTTAGTTTTCTTGATTTTGTTATTTGAGTGCGACGTGTTTAAGTGTTATACGATTTTTGAAATGTGCGATTTTCTGGAACAAGGATGCAACGTAAAATTTTCCGTGAAACTGAGGAAAACTTTCTCGGTAACGTTTCAACTTTTGAAACAAGCTTACGGAGATGATGCTCTGGGTCGTACGCAATGTTACGAATGGTTTTCACTATTTAAAAGTGGTCGTCAGTCAATTAAAGATGATCCTCGACCAGGAAGGTTTTCTACTTCAACTGACGACTCCCAGGTTCAGGCATAGGCATAGATTTGGTGCGTGTAAATCGCCGATTGACTATTAAAGGAATTGCAGATAAGGTTAGCATCTCAATTGGGTCCTGTCATAAAATTTTGACGGAAGAATTGAACATGTATTGAGTTGCAGCAAAATCTGTTCCTCGTTTGATGGCCAGAAACAGAACAATCTAATGACGATGACACATTCATTCAAAGGATCTTTTTACAGATTTAAAGAATTGGAGAAAATAAAAAAGATAAGTCTCTTTCTTCAAAAAACTTCGGAAACCCGTACGGCTACAGTCGCTCTGTAAGCGTTATTAAGATAGTAAAAAAATGTTCTAAAACTTTCTCTATATAACAGTTTTTCTAGTTTCCGAAATCTCCGTATTAGACTAGGCGGTATCTGTTTTGATTTGGGTGAATCGTATATACACGGAGATTTTTGGCTTTCTGGCTTTCAAATATCACTAGAAATTAAAATTTTTCTATGCGCATAAAAAAAACGTGGGCTTAACTTTTGGCGGCACAATATGTTAAAAAAATAAAAAATATCATATTTTTCTCCCTATTTCATTATGTATCTTTTCAAGAGTTGATTTTAGGCGAAAATGGAAGAGGAAAAAATGTTTGTAATTAAATTTTTTACAAAACATGACTAGTTGCAAATCGAATGGATCATGATTATTAAGGTAAAAATCGAAAAAATCGCAAAAATGGGTTTAAAAAACAATACTTTTTAGGGAATTTTCTTGGGGTATTTAAATTGGGTATAGGACCTTTATACTTGGCTCAATAAAACTTCATGTTATGTAGAATTATCACACCAAATTTCATCAAAATCGGTTCGATAGATTTTGCATAATAATTTTGCAATCCAGATTTTGAAAAAAAAATTG